TGCCTCAACACCAAGCCTCCTGCTGTGAGGGCTCCATGGGCTGGGGCTGCTGAGCCTGGCTGTTCCCATTCTGTCCCGCACCCTCAGAGGCTGGGGTGGGCTGGGGCAGACACTGGCATGCCAGACAGAAAGAAGATGAGGAGAGGGGTGTCGTGGGCCCACCACGCTCAGCGGGCCTCAGACCAAACTCTGGTGTTGGTTCCCCACCAGTGGCTGCCACTCACTTTTTCCAGAGAGTGACTGTGGAGGGTCCATGGGTTGCTAGAAAAGGAGATGTTGGAAAGGTCATGATGGGGGTGAGCAAGGTTCCCGAAGCAAAGAAGGCGTTGGACCTCATGGGCCTGACCCCAAGCCTGGACTCTTGAGCAGCGTTGTGTGTACCTGCTCATAATTCTGCCTTCTCCCTTGTCAATAAAGCCTCCCTCCTTCATGACCTAATCTCTGGACTGTTCTTGCTGGGGAGCTGGGAGGCATGCTGGTGGGCAGGGAAGGCAGGAGCTGGAGCAGCCACCTCTCATTCCAGAGGTGCCATAGACCTCAGTCCAGAGGCCCTCAAAGACCCCTGAGGTTGGTGGTCTTCCCCAGTTCAAGGAGACATTTCCCCGCTTGCCTCAGGCAGCCAAGCCCTGCCAGCCTGTCTGGCCACTGCAACTTTGGACACCCACTCGGCTTATAGCCCTGCCTCCACTCAGGAATCTGCTGGAAAGCTGGGGTGCTCAGGGAGAGAGGCGGGGCCATGATATGCATTAGCCAAGTGACTGGAGCATAAGCTGTCAGGCTAGCTGCCTGGGTTCAGATCCTGGCCCTCGCTCTACAACCTTGGTCAAGTAACTTCACCTCTCTTTGCCTCAGTTGCCTCATCTAAAATGTAGGGCTATTAATCATGCCTATGTCATAGAACTATTGTGGAAGTAAGTAAAAAATACACGTAAAATGCTGAAGTGCCTGGTCCATAGTAAGTGCTCAGGAAATGCTAACTGTGGTGACTGTGGTTGAATCAGCCACACGATGAGACGACCGACCAAGCAGATGTTAAGAGAGAGGGTGATGAGTGTCTGTGCCTGGTCCTGTCTCTTCCCTGTGTCCTGTCTGAGCTAACTGCAGGGGCTGTGGCAGGGCCTGTTACCTGGTCTTCTTGTCTCCATCTCACCCCTCAGTCCATCTGCAATGCCACCACCAGGGGTCTTTTGAAAAGGCCTGTGAACATCCTGTCTCACGTCAACTACCAGCAGTGGTTCCCTGTCACCTTCTGGGTCAAGGCCAGACCTGTACCCAGCCATTTCAGGCTTTGCCTGCTTTCCAGCCTTCCAGTGCCCCCTCCCCCTCCTCTGGCTGCCTTTCTGTGCCCTCTTTGCATATAACACTGACCTCCAACCTCCAAGCCTTTGCTTGCATTACTCCCTTTGCTGGACTTCCCAGGTCTCATCCCTGCCTGCTGAAATCCTTAAAAGTCCAGACCAAAGGATGCCTTTTCAAAGCCTTCCATGATTGCTCTGGAAAGACATGCCCCCTTCTTTTCTGTGAGTGTGTGCATTCTACTTTGGCCTACGTTTGTGGGTCTGTCTCCCCATCTTCAAGCCCGAGGCTCCTTGAGGAGAGGGACTGTGCCTGATTTAGCATGTGCCTGGCACTGAGTTACTGCTGAATCAATGAATGATGGAGGGATGGGTGGATGGAGGGATGAGTGGATGGTGTACAGAACACCAATCCAGGGTTATTGCTACAGTTTGAGGCCTGCAGAGGGCTTGTTGCTGGATCAGTGATAGTTTGTCACTGGAGACTCCAGAGGCAGGGCTGAGAGCCAGGAAGCTGCTGCTTCTGTTCCAAGCTCTGAGCTGCCCTCTCCCTGCACCACACAGTCCCCCAGCATTGATTCCCTTCCTTCCTCAGCTGACCCATTTCTGACTGGAAGGGAAAAAATGAAAAACTACTCATAGTCAGCACAGACTTTCTGGGACTTAGACTGGCTGTTCTGGAGGCCAGAGGAAGGGCCAGACTCCCTGTGAAACCCTTTGGCAGCACCAACCTTGGGATCCCATCCAGAGTAACCTTCCTCCAGCCCCTCAAACCTTAAGCTGCTATGACAGTGAACTGGCAGAACTGAGGGCTTGGCGCCACCTGCTGGCCACAGGGAAGACCTACTTGATCCCAGAATATCAGGGCTCTGGTCCTAGGCTTAAGGTTTAGCTCAGGCAGGAGCTGGAAAGTTTCAGGCATGGAGGGGAAGCTGGACCAAGCCTTGCCTGACCCTTGTGAATGTTCTTGCCCACTGATAGTGCCCCTTTCATCCAGGGGCACCCCTGCTTGAAAGCACTGGACTAACCCAAGGAAGCTCCCCTGAGCTCCACACAGCCCAGCAGGAACTTCTGTGAGAGTTTGGTGTCCGATATTCTGCCCCCGGACAGCATTGGACATCACACCAGAGCAGACAGAGCAGTTCACGGGATTCCACAACCTGCGTGCAGACTCGGCTGTCCCCCAGGCCCCTGGAGACAGGAGAGCGGCACCTCAGGTCACTGTGGTCCAGTGCTGATACAGATGCTGTTCTCCAAGTTTGTAGATGAGGAAACAAGATCAGAAATGACATTAACTTCCCAAAGTCTCACAGCTTTTGATGTGGCAGCCCCAAGATTTGCACCTGAGTCTGTCTCACACTCCTGCACAGTCCCAGTGACCTGATCTCAGGCTTTTACTCAGAGTACCGCCTTTCCAAAGTGTGAAATCCACCAGACTCTGCTCTCTAGATCAAGAGCAAGAGGGAGAGTGTAACTTGGGAAGCCCCTGGGCCTCCCTGAGCCCCAGATTTGAGGCTGATGACAAGCTCTGCTGTGGCAACGCCTATCGATTTGGCATCTCCAGCCAGTCACCTCGAGGCCCACGCATGGCCCTTCCACAGAGGGGACTCACCCAGCTTCTACAGAACCCACTTTACACAGATGGCGACCTCCCAGCTCCACCCTGCACGTGAGCTCCTGCCTGACAGTTTTCCTTAGGGAGAACTTTCCTAAGGAGCTTTCCCCTGGGAGTAGAGTAGTCGTGGCTCCCTGCATGTCTGTGGGCTCATCTCTGAGGTCTCCCCCAGGTCCAGGTGTCAGTCACCTTATCTTGTACCAAGAAATACAGAAGACTTTGGGGACAGGGCAAATTTTGTGTGCCAAAGTCATGTTGCCTCCAGACTAGGGCAGGCGTGAAGAACAACATATCTGTGGTCTGTTCCAGCTTCAGAGAAGCTGGCGAAAGACAGAACAGTGGCACTCAGATCAGAACTGCATTCCAGAGAGTGGGTTTACTGTGCTGGAATCTAAATTTTTGGCACCTTCTCTTCCAGGTCCCCCTGCCTGGGGCATGGTGTATCTTCATGGCAAGGGCAGCAGGTGCTACCTACACCTACTCTATTTCCACTCTGGGCAGGTCCACCTCTGAGTTGACGTGAAAGACAGGCCACTCAGGCTGCCCCACTTGGGCACAGGATGCCAATGAGTAGGAAACTAATGCAAAGGGCCTATGGGACTACACAAATGTATGCCGTACCCTGGCAGAAGAAAGGGTGTACTGAGTATGGGCCGGGTTAGCGATACCTGGGAGCTTCCTTCAGCCACACAGCTCCCCTTCCTGAAGGGGTGTCATTCCTGACAGCACAAATACACCCGAAACTACGCCCCCCACACAGACCAGCAGCACCCAAGTGAAGCAAGCCAGACTTTGGGGGGCCCTGCCTCTGTATTTTCTTTATTTCATCAAGTCCAGATTTTCTCATAAGGCCATTATTATTGGGGAACTGGAGTCACTCCGGAGTAACCCAGAGACAAGTAAATGCTCAGTTCTGACTAAGACTCTTTTGTCCAACTCCTGGGTCCTTGATTTCCCATCCATCTTGGAAGGGGAAGAAGGAAAATCTTCCCATAATCCTGCCTCTTTTGAGCCTCTCTTCTGGTCTAACCAGCATACTTGTTCCTCCGTTTAGTGACTCTTTGATGCCTTTTTTCTACAGCATGGATTCCCTTCCAGTCAGCGCTGTCCATTTAACATTCCCCACATTTCACATCTGATATTCTCATTTTCCTCTAACGATACCTCATCTGTGATTTCCCCATCTACTTGTATTTTTCCCTTGTATTATTTTACTGTTCTATCAGTTTCTCTACAAAATTATGTCTTTTACTAAATTTATAAAATCACATCTGCTTTACTACTTTTTCCAAAGAGTATCATTCCCTTTCAGCCACAGTAAACAGCTTGGACTGCTCCCTTTGTTCCCTAGTCCCACTGTTGCCATTTGCCTCCTTCCACTGGGAGATTGACTGAACCCTCCTCTTGGAAATTTATTGGGTCCTCTAATTATCTTGAATTGGCTCCAGCCACACTGGTGCTGCAATCCCCACATGCCACCACTAGAGGACACTCTTAACACTCTCTGGTGGGAAGCTCAACAGTGGGGAGTGTTCTATTCATCCCTTTAAATGAGCTTCACCCTTTTTCACCTCAAGGCACACATCAAGCCAAGAGACTTAAGTCCTAAGAACTGCTTTTGAGCCATTGCTCCAGCTTCTGGTAGCTGCCCTACAAAGGTCCACAAATACAACTGCATGCCCCTGATCACTGCATTCAGAACCACTCTGTATGTTGCCCACGGCCAACACCTGGCCTGAGACCCTCCCCAGCCCTGTCAGCCTGTCCTGGCAGAGGCGCCCACACTTTCATCCAACTAGGGATGGCATCAGCCACCTGGGTTCGCTTACAGAAAATCAGGCAAGGGCCAAGCTCACCCACCAACACGTCCTCCCCTAAGAACTGACTGGAACTGTACTGAGCCAGCCTCTCCTCAAGGCCGAATTAGTGACCAAGCTCATCACTCCCAGCCCAACCCCACCCTGGACCTTCCTGGATGGTATGGGACACTGATTACAAATTTAAGCTCCACCCTTTCCTACTCATGAGACTGGGGGGTGGGGGTGGGGGCAAGTCACTTACCTTCTACCAAAGAATAAGTCAGGTATAAATTAAAAGTCAAGACTTTTATTCGTATATTGGCATGTACAGATTGATCTCAATGAACGAAGAAATAGCATTTGAAATGGAAACACGTCAATAACTGTTGCTTTCTCTACCTTCTCCCGCCCTTTTTTAAATTAAGGTAGAACTGGCATATATTATTTTCACGTGTATGACATAAGATTTGATGTTTGTATATATTGCAAAATAATCACCACAAAGGGTCTTATTAAAATTCATGTCTCTACAGTTCCAAAATTTTTTCTTGTGATAACTTTTAACATTTTCTTTTAGCAACTTTCAAATATTCCATGCTGTACCAACAGTTCTGCTCACCATGTACCGTTCGACAATGGCAGTCCCATGAGCTTACAGTGGAGCTAAAAATTCCTATCACCTAGTGAAGTCACAGGCACCCTAGTGTCCTAGCACAGTGCATGGCTCACGTGTTAGTGGTGGTGCTGGTGTAAACAAACCTGCTGCCCGGACAGTCATATAAATATATGTATAAAGGTATATGTATTTATGTACAGTACATAATACTTCATAACGATACTGACTGTTACGGGCTCACAGATTTACTATGCTATAATTTTATTGCTATTTTAGAGTATCCTTTTTCTAGCTATAAAAATGAGGTTGTACCCCGACAGAGTGACTCAGTTGGTTGGGCCTTGTCCAGCAAAGCAAAAGGTCACCAGTTTGATTCCTGGTCAGGGCACATGCTTGGGTTACAGGTTCAGTACCTGGTCAGAAAGATACTACAGGCAACCGGTTATACTCCTCTTTCACATTGATTTTCCTCTCCCTCTCTTCCTGCCTCCAGTCCCCTCAACCTAAAAATAAATTAAGCAAATAAGTTTGCTGTAACAGTATGTGGTATTATACTAGCAGCAGCTTCAAATCCTGTTGACTGCGTCTCTTGATTATATCATTTTCTCATGTGCTTCATTCAGTCTCATACTGTTTTATAAGTTTAGTGCAGCCTGAGTGTGCAGTGAAGTCTACACCAGTACAACGTCCTGGCCTCCACATTCACTGGCTCACCCAGAGCAACTTCCAGTTCTGCAAGCTCCATCCATGGTCAGTGCCCTGTACAGGTGTACTACTTCTGATCTTTTATACCACATTTTTACTGTACTTTTTCTATGCTGAGATACATAAATACTGACATTGCATTACAACTGCCTCCAGTATTCAGGATAGTAACATGCTGTACAGGCTTGTTGCCCAGAAGCAATGGGCTGTACCATACAGCCTATGTGTGTGGAAGACTGTAACAGCATCTAGGTTTGTGTAAGTGCATTCAGTGATGTTAACACAATGATGAAATTGCCTAACAACACATCTTGCAGAATGTAGCCCCTTTGTCAAGTGGTACATGACTGTGTGTGTGTGCACAAAACACTTTCTTTATCCATTCATCCCTCAATAGACACTTAGGTTGTGTACATGTATTGGCTATTGTAAGTAATGCTACAATGAACACAGAGGTGTACTAACTTCAGTGTTTGTCTTTCCTTCAGGCAAATTCCCAGAGGTGGAATGCCTGGATTATGTGTTAGTTCTGTCTTTGACTTTTTCGAGGAACTTCCATGCTACATTCTATAATGGCTGCACCACTGTTCATTCCCACCCACAGTGCACCAGTATGTGTCCCCTCTTCTCCAAATCCAGGCCAATACTTTTCATTTCTTGTCTATTTTTTTATAGTAGCCACTCCAACAGGGGTGAGGTGATGTCTCATCGTTCTGGTTTGCATTTTCCTGGTGAGTAATGATGTCAAGCACCTTTTTATGTACCTGTTGGCCATCTGTATACTTTCTTTGGAAACTGTTGCTTTTTTACCTTATCTTGGAAAAAGCTGACTGGCCGGAGGGTATCCAAGAGGGCCGTTTGAACAGGCTGCTCTGGAGCAAACTGTGTGCGTCATCGGGAAACTCATTTTGGTTCCTCACACATTCCCTGAGAAAGTTTGTGGTTTCTGTTGCCAGTCACTGTGTGAGAACCCTCAGTGTTCTGGTGGCTCCTCCACCCGCATCTGCCATGAATGCACCATAATGAAAGCACCTGTCCTTATAGTTCTTCAGTCCCTTCTCGTGTTAGGTTGGGTCTTCTAAGAGCAGCTTTCAAGATGCATTAGAAGTACAAGAGTTACTAGAAGCAGTGCCCATGAAACAGACCTCAGAAGTAGGTGAGGAAAGTCTTTGGATGATGTTGCAGCAGGTCTGACATCTGGGAAGGGAGGAAGGAGGGAGGATTGGGTAGCAAGAGCTTCAGACGACAGTGCAACCCTGAGAAATGCTAAGGCACTCTGGCAGGGAGCTCCCGAGATGCCTGCTTTGTCCAGCCGCTGGCTGGAGCACAGCCTGGGCTAGAACACTGCAGCGGGTCCCTGAGATGACACAGCTGGAACGTGTTGGCTGCTACAGTCTTCATAGCAAAGGGGGTCTCCGCAGCACATATCCGTGGCAACCACACTTTTTTAGTAAAAATTCGGGTTCCTGAGTAGCTACCTCAGTTAGCTTTTGCTATGTCACAAGCCAACCTAGGTTGTAACAAGCCAGCCGAAATACATGGTGGCTTTTAAAAAATATTTCTGGCACATTCGAGAGTTGGCTCTGTTGACACTGATGGTCTCAGCTCACATGTCTGGAAGCTGGGCGGCTGCCATCCAATCCACAGCTGATGGTCCTCAAATAACATGGTTTTGGTCAACATTCTCATTATACTGTTGACAAGATGCCGTAGGAACCTGACTTGTTTCTCTCATTAGCCTATAGTGAAATTAGTTTCATTATACACCGTCTTGTTTAAAGTCCCAGAACCTATGCACGCTGTTGAGGACTCACTATAGACTGGCCTCCTCCAGCGCCGCTCGCTCCAGCCTCCGTTGTCTGTCATCCTCCAGCAGGACAGTCTGGACGCGTCCTCCTCTCACCAAGGTCAGAAGCACAAAAGAAAGCAAATGGCAATACACAAGGCCTCTTTCACTTGTCTCCCTCCATTGGTCAGAGCAAGTCCCCAGGTTGAGCCCAGTGTCCAGGGGCAGCCCATGATGGGAGGGCACTGCAAAGTCACACAGCAAAGGACAAGGATATAGCGTGGGGTGGGTGCCTGGGGCCATCACTCACACCACCTGAGAATCCAGGGCAATCGTGAATGAAGGCCTTAGGAGTCTCTTCTTCACTAAGTATCTTTGTGAAGTGTCCTCTTCCATCAACAGCTCCTGGACAGCAGAACCTAGAGGAAGGCAAGGAACATGAGAACATTCACAAATGTCAACACATTAGAAAACCAGTTTATATTCAGTTTTCACATTGACTAAAGTCCAGTCAGGAGAGACTATGTCCCAGGAATCAACTAGCCAAGTTTACATAAAAAAGAGACTTTTTCTCTTAATCAATTATTCTAATTTTCCTAAAGCATTTCCTAATGAGAAGCATTAGCTATTGCAGAGATTGTGCCTTGGCAGGCCCCTAAATAACTGAGGGCAATTTATTATCTAGAACCATTTTAGCCTTGGCTAGTGTGGCTCTGTGGATTAAGCGCCAGCCTGTGGACCAAAAGGTTGCTGGGTGGATTCCTGTCAGGGCACATGCCTGGGTTACAGGCCCGGTCCCCAGCTGGGGGCGTGCAGGAAGCAACTGATTGAGGTTTCTATCACACATTGATGTTTCTCTCCCTCTTTTTCTCCCTCCTTTTCTTTTTCTCTACAAACAAATACATAAAATCTAAAGGGAAAAAAAATACAACCAATTAATCAACATGTTTACACTGGTCTCTTGGGTCTCTTGAGATGCTTTATTTGCTATTTAAACCACAGTTAGGAATAAACATGTTTGGAAACACCACTGAGAGTTAGAAATTCTTGGTTTAAAGGTAAAATCTGGTGGTAAGTTGTCCCTTTGAGCTACAAATAAAATACGAGCACCTGGGGGAAGGAATGCCCGTCTCTGAGCTGTGGTTTCCATGTGTGAGGACAGCGATGCAACTCACACGTGGTTCAAAGGCCTGCTGCGCACTGACACAGGGAGGGCTGGCTCACACGGAGAGTTGTGTTGTGAGGAGAGTTGTGTTGTGAGGAGGCAGAGGGCCTTCACCATGCACCTGCCCAGAGTCACAAGCCACCACACAGAGGTCTGATGGGAAAGTTCTTCCCCAACACAACATCAGAAAACATCAGCCACACACCACAAGCACACCACACGGGATTCCCCGTCATCGATCCTGGGAACTCTCCAACATCCTCCGCTGGCCGTGCTCCCTGAACTCCCAGAGCCGATTCCAAAACACAGGGCTCAACTTTGCTTTAGCACCCTCTCACCTCTTCCAAGGGACTATCAGTAGTACAGATACTGCCAAACAGGGAGCAAAGATCCAGAGAAGGTTCCATGAATCACCTTTTGGCTCAGACACTGCAGAGAGAAAGAGGGGGCCAAACTTAAGAGAAAACCAACTGGCAAAGGCCCAAGTGACCACACCCCCGCTGCTAAGGGCTGTGTGGTTGTATGTCATTTCTCTGTCAGAGATATGACCACCAGCCACTCCTCCGACACATCTTGTCATTCCTATCACATACTCTTCCACACATTAGTGTGTGCAGCACCTGCCAGAAACACACGGCAATGTCGAGCACCACATACCACAAATAAGCCACACACATGTCCAGAGCTTCCATACCACTATACCACCTTACCTCACTGCTATGTATTGAATGTCTGTGCCCCCCAAAATTCATACATTGAAATCCTAATACCCCATGTAATAATATTTGGAGGTAGGATTTCTGGGAGGTCTCAGGTCATGAGGATGGAGCCCTCATGAATGAAATGAATGCCTTTATAAAAGAGGTCTTAGAGAGATCCCTCACCACTCCAACCACGTGAGGACACAAGAAATCTGTGCCCCCTGGCTGGCGTAGCTTAGTGGATTGAGCTCCAGCTGTGAACCAAAGCGTTGCAGGTTCAGTTCCCAGTCAGGGTACATGCCTGGGTTGCAGGCCATGACCCCCAGCACCCAACATTGATGTTTCTCTCTCTCTATCTCCCTCCCTCCCCTCGCTAAAAACAAACAAACAAATAAATAAATAAGTAAATCTAAAAAAAAACAGTCTTGCCCTCTTTTGTCTCTCTTTAAAAAAAAAAAAAAAGGAATCTGTGCCCCAGAAGAAAGCCCCCACCCAACATGCTGCCACACTGATCACTGACTTCCAGCCTCCAGAACTGTGAGAAATGAAAGCTGTTGTTTACAAGCCCCCCAGTCTGTGGGGGTCTGTTACAGCGGCCCAGAGGCATGCACAACTCACCCAGACAGACCTCTTATGTGCACAAGGCATATTTCAATTCCACACTCCCCATGTGCCACACATACATTGCACACAACCCTGCACACACTACACACGCACATCCTGGCCCTTCTCTCCATCCAGGACCACCCCAGGCCCCACCCGGCACACCCAGTCAGCCCCTGCCCTCCTAACCCCTCCCAGCTCTAGGCTGATGCACTGGACTAGCAGGGTCTTCCCCCCTGGGACCAGAGCCAGGACAACAGAAGCTGGCATATGAGCTCAATTAACCCCACCCCACCAGCAGGAGGGGCTCTGTAGGCAGCGGCATTATCTTGGGCAAAGGGTCTAGTGTGCCTGGGGAAAGCCCTTGACAGTTGCAGGACTCCCCGTCCTGGGCACAGAACTACTGATGCAGCCTCTGCCAGCCAACAGTCTGTGGTGAGCCTGGAGCGCGACCAGAACAGTTGCTGTCAGAGCTGGGTCTCTGGCCCCTGACAGACCCTGGTCCCCAGGGGACATGGGCAGGGTGCCATCCCTTTCTCCTAGTAGCTTCCCATTCCAGGTCATGTAGACAGACCACCCAGATCACTTAAACTGCTGTAAGCTAACCCTGAAGACTGCTGTCACTGCTCTCCACCTGCAAGACCGCCACCCTGGCTCAGGGAACCTAGTCTGCACTGCTCACTCTGGGGCTGAGCTAGGCCAAACCAGCCTTCTTCTCCTTCCCCAGTGGCCCCCATCTTGGCCTAGGATGACTGGGAACCTCAGTTTTACATTGTACCCCCTCCAGGTGAAGAGTGGGGGAAACCTCCAGGAAGATGCTTACCGTTCTCACCCAGAGTGATGTTCCTCCTCCAGGGGGTGCACAAGAACACGTGCTCTACCCTACATTGGTAGGTCGCATTGTGTTCCAGAGAGCGCTTCAGCTTCAAAGAGCTAGTGACATTAAATGTGTCATCTTCATTCGCAATGGCAGCATTAGTGGTGACGTTCTCAGAAATGTTCACACACTGGGAATTCTCCTGGCTCCATTTACACCACGTTATGTTAATGTTCTTTGGGTAGAACCCACTTGCCTCACACAGAAGACGTTGATTGGCTTCCTCCAAAGACAAGCTGCTGACTGGGCAAGCTGCCGGGGGTGAAGAGTCATACTTTGAGGGTAGGTTGGGACAAGGTCATTATCAGTTCAGTGTCTGACCCAGAGCAAGCCCTCAGGAAGGGTGAGTGAAGCACATGGGATTCCGCTTAAGCTAAATGCTCCGGGTGCACTGATCTCAGTGCTGGCAAGGTGCTGACACTCTGTGACCCTGACTCTCGGCTGCTCTGCACAGTAGAGTTTTTCAAGCCACTCTGTGTCACAGACAACACTGACAATCTGAGGAAAACTCTGGAACACTGTTGTGGAAGAGACTGCTAATTGCTGCCCATTCCATCCTTCAGTGATACATCTGAGTTAAAGCTGCATCTCCCACCCTCTGCTGCAGCCGGGGTAGCCATGTGAACTCAGGGTCCAGGAGTTCGAGTAGAATCACAAGTAGGGAGAGCAACCTCAAGGAAACATCCTTAAAGAACAAGGGTATCTTAAAGAAAAGGGCTCTGACCTTCTCCCTTCCTGCAGAACAGCTGGAATATCGTGTGATGGAAAAGCCATTTCCAAACACAAGCTGCATGTTGAGCACCGCAAAGTGGCAAGACCAAAGTCCCCTTGGTTATCACATGATCACAGCACTGCCCTACTTGCCCTGGGCTGGCTACACTCTTGTGTAAGGAAAATAAACTACCTTTTGAAAATTCCATGCTGACTTCTGGGTTCCTCTGACACCTAAAGACCTTAGAAGTCATCACCATCCCCCACTCCTAATAGGAAAAAGAGCTGAACCAAACCAACTGCAAATCAACAACTTTCCTTAGCTCCATCAGAGAAGTGAGGTGACAGGGCAAACCGCCAACCTGAAAACTAGAGAGACAGGCACACTGAGAGGACCACGGCCAACACTGCGTCCCCTTACACAGAAGGTGCTGGGATCAAAACTTTCACAAATTGCTAAGGGACGTGGGTGGACTTGCTGGAGAGTAAGAATATCTGGGGTCTGTTCTTAGGAGGTTTTTGTGGGTTTCACCTCCAGAAACCCCACCAGGTTCTTGCAGCTCCAAGAAAAGGCCCTTCTGTTTTGGGGAGGAGAGGAAAAGCAACTATCTAAAAATATACCCAGTGCATCCTCCAAAACAAAGAATGCTCTCAAGAAAGAAGACTTTTCCAGAACCCTGGCTGACCTAGCACAACAAAGATGAGCTCTCCAGCAATCTATACACTCCTGTCTCACCTGAGAACACTTTGAAGGTCATAGCCTAGGGTCTCAGGCCACTCAAAGGGTGAGATTCAATCCTATTGATGACCTCTGTATCAGCCCATCAGCAGGGCTCCAGCATAATAACAGTAGATTACAACTGAGAAAGCTGCAAGACATAACTCTATGTAAGGACTTCACAGAGAAACTCAAAGACAACAGGGAAGGGGGAAAAGACACTAGAAGAATTCTGAAATCTCTGACACCTACAGCTACGGCGTTGACATTAAGTACTGCCCAGGTCCCAGCCATAGAATCTCACACTAAAAGCCAATTTACCTGAGTTCCTATTCCTTGGTACGTACTATCTGGCTTTCAACAATAAAAAACTACCATGAAGGTCGAAAAGTGTGCACAGACAAAGCAATCATCAGAACCAGGCTCCGGCATGATACAGATTTTAGAATAATCAGAAATAGAGAATTTAAAATAACTGTGACTAACCCATTGAGAGCACTAATGGAAAAAGCAAGAACAGGTGGATAATGTGAGCAGAGAGAAGGATGCTCTCTAAGAAAGAAATCAAAGGAAATGCCAGAAACTAAAAACACTATAAAAGATAGGAGAATGCCTTTGACAGGCTCATCAGTAGACTTAACCTAAGGAGAGAATCAGCAGGCTTAAATATGTCCATTAAAATTCCCAAACTGAAATTCAAAGAGCCAAAAGAATGCTGGGGGAAACCCAGAAGGAAAAGAAATATCCAAAAACTGTGGACAAATGCAGAAGGTATAACATACATGTAACAGGAATAACAACAAAAGTAAGGAGAAAGGAGGAGAAATACTTGGAAAAATAACGGCTGAGGATTTTCCAGAATTAATGACAGACACCAAAGCACAGATCCAGGAAGCTCAGAGAACACTAAGCAGGAAAACACCACAGCATATTCAAAACGCAGGAAACATTTTTTTTGTCAAAAAACAAACAGAAAACCTTCTAAAGAATCCAGAAAAAAAAATAACTTACTCAGAGGGGAACCAGGATAAGAATGACACTGAACTTCTTAGATACAAGCAAGAAGAGAGGGACATGAAATATTTTAAGTGTTGAAAGAAAATAATCCACCAATCTAGAATCCTATATCCAGAAAAATTATCCTTCAAAAATAAAGTATAAATACATCTCAAACAAACACAAACTGAGGGACCGTGTCGCCAATAGACCTGCCTTACAAAATGTTAAAGGAAGTTCTTCAGAAACAAGGAAAATGACATGGGTCAGAAACTAGAATCCACATGAAGGAAGGAAGAGTGTCAGCTCTGACCAGTGTGGCTGAGTTGGTTGGCGTCATCCCGCCAGGTGAAAGGTCAGGGCATATGCCTGGGTTGTGGGTCTGGTCCCAGGCCAGGGTGCATATGAGACGCAACTGATCAATGTTTCTCTCTCACATCCATGTTTCTTTCCCCTCTTTCTCCCTCCCTTCTCCTCTTTAAGCACATCAACTAAGACACAGAGACCGTCAGAGGGGATTAAAACAAAAGTCTCAAATATATGTTTCTATAAGAACCCCACTTTATACAGGGGGGATAAATGGGGATGGAAGGAGACTTGACTTTGGGTGAACACACAATACAGTGTACAGATGATGTGTTACAGAATTGTACATCTGAAACTTATATAATTTAACTAACCCATGTCCCCCCAATAAACTCAATACAAAAAGAAATACACTTTAAATATGAAGACCCATATAGATTTAAAAGTAAAGGGATTAAAAAAGACACACCACAGCAACACTAATGCAGAGATAACTGGATTAGCTCTGTGAATTTCAAAGTAGCCTTCAGAACAAGAAAAACTATCAGGGACATGTGAACAAACCATGGACTTTAATTAATAAAAATGTATCAATATTGGTTATTAATTATAAGAAATATACCTTCTTTATGCAAAATGTTAACAACTGGGGAAGTGGTGTGCAGAGATAGGACCTCTGCACTATCTTTGCAACTTTTCTGTAAATCTGCAACTGTTCTAAAAAATGAAGGCTATTTATTTTAAAAAATCTTTTATTTTAGGCTTTCTGTCAGTTGCAGGGGAAATGAATCCTAATATACATTCCCATCCCCAAAGTTAATACCTATAAAACACTCAAAGTCTTAAGTACAGTTTCGGAGGCTCATAGGTGCGGCCGCCCTGTCACAGCCTGAATTGTGTCTCCCACCCCCAAACTCCTGTGTTGAAGTCCTAACCCCAGTCCCTCAGACCGAGGCTGTATTTGAAGGGAGGGTCTTTATCGAGGTTGTTAAGTTAAAACGAGGTCATCAGGTTGGGCCCTGATCTAATCTAACTCATGTCTTTACAGGAAAAGGAGATGAGGACACAGACACAGGCGCAGGGGCAGACCCTGCGAAGACACGGGGAGAAGACGGACGTCTGCGAGCCGAGGAGGGAGGCAGCTGCAAAACAGGCCCTGCTGACACCTCCACCTCAGACGTCTAAACTGCAGAACTGAGACAATATATTTCTGTCATTTAGGCCACCCAATCAGTGGTATTTTGTTATGGCTGCTCTAGCAAACTAATACACCCTCCCCGTGAGCTCATCCACATAGCATTTCCAGACTGATTTATAACAGAGGAAAGTGGGCCTCAAGTTAGCATTTAGAGGACACTGCTGCTGTTACATCTCTTGTCCGAGCACCGGACTCAGAAGAGCAGTCGGGTCACCCTTTTCATACAATGTCTTTTGTAGTCCTCAGAACACTAAGAGGTAGGTATAATCATCACCCCATTTTGCACGTGGGGAAATTTCAGGTCCAAAAACATTGAATGGCTGGCCTCATCGCCCAGTTTGGAAGCAGCCCAGCTGGAACAGGATTCACGTCTGCTCCCAGCTGCCTTCCAGAGGCACCTCTTCAGTGAGCCCTGACTGACTGTCCGCACACTAGGTGAACTGTGTGATCATTACTAGGGACTTCCTCCACCAAGCACTTCTACTGGGCCAGGCACTGCACTAAGCGTTTTTCAGTCCTCTTAGGTAGGTACCATTACATTTGTTTACAGCAATGGACATTGAGGTTCACCTTGAGCAATAACTTGCCTTAAGTTGACCAGGTGTCTGTGAAAGCCCAGGATCAAACCCATGTCTACCTGACTCTTAGGCCCACGCCCCAAACCTCTGCTCCACTTGGCCCATCCACTGTGGGAACCACAGGACACCCCCACCAGGTACTCACCTACAACCTCCAGAAAGACTGTCCCCTGGCCCCTGTCAGGGGTATTCACCACCTTACATCGGTACTCTCCTGCTTCCCACAGCTGGACCTCAGGCAGCTGCAGGGAGGCGTCCCCCTTCGCCAGCCCCTGAAGAGACACGCTGGCTCCTAATCTGAATGCCTCTCGGTGGTTTCCATAAAACTCAAACACTGTGACATCTCTTCCATCCACTGGGTTCTTCCGAGACCAGATAACACCCACATTTTTGATGTTCAGGGGTGAAGAACCAAGGACCTTGCAGGAGATGATGGCATTGTGATTCAGCAACATAGTCTGAGTCTTCCCTGCCATCTCCACTCTCAAGGACTCTGTGGCAACAAGAAAACTCAGTTATGGGAGAACCTTGGGGGAAAAACGCAGGGCTGGTACTCTCAAACACTACCATGTACTTGGAAACAAATTCCTTTTCTGGGCCGGGGGTCTCCCGCACAGAGGCCCTCAGTTCATGACCTCTCGTTGATCCACGTAAGATCCTCCAACTTTGTTCTTTTTGTTCAAGACTGTTTTGGCTATCCTGGGTCTCTTGCAATTTCATGGAAATTTTCAAAGCAGTTTATTAATTGCTCCAAAGAAGTCAGCAGACATTCTAATAGGAATCGCATTGCATCTGTAGATCAGTGTGGGGAGTACTGCCGACTTAACAATGTTGTCTTCTAACCCATGAATGTGTTTCTGAAATGCACTATGGACCGAGTGTTTGCGTCCCTCCGAAATTCACAATCCTCGGTGTGGAGGTGTTTGAGGAGGGGCCTTTGGGAGGGAATTAGGTCATGAGGGTGGAGCCCTCCTGAGTGGGATCAGTGCCCTCACAAGAGCAGGAGAGGGATGTAAGAAATCATCTCTCCACACCTGGGGACAGAGTAAGGTGCTCAGGAACCAGCCAGAAATAGGCCTCTCACCAGAAACAAAGCAGTCAACACCTTGATCTTGGACTTCACAGCCTCCAGAGCACTGAGAAATAAATTTCTGTTCTTTAAGCCACTCGGTCCAAGGTTTTTGCTTTGGCAGCCTGAGAAGACTAAGACAAGATGTTTTTCCGTATCAGTTATTTAGATCTTCTTAAATTTCTTTCAACAATAGTTTTACAGGTTTCAGAGTATAAGTGTTGTGGTTTTCTTATTAAATTTATTCCTAAGTATTTTATTCTTTTTGGTGATACTATATGTAAAATTATGTTATCAATCTTATTTTCAGATTTCTCATCGCATGTTTATAGAAATATTTATTCTTTTTTATTTCCATTCCCCTCCCCCAACAGGCAACCAATCTAAGATGTTTAAAATCTATATTTTTGTTCTCTTTAAAACTGTCTTGTTCAGCTCTAACTGGGTGGCTCACTTGATTGTAGTGTCATTTCATACACCAAAAGGTTGTGGGTTTGGTCCCCAGTCAGGACACACATGGGAGCCAACCAATCAATGCTTCTCTCTCATATAGATATTTCTCTCTGTTTCTCTCTCTCTCTCTACCTCTCTCCCCCTTCCACTCCCCTTTCCTCTCTCTCTGAAATCAATAAAACATGTCCTTGGATGAAGATTAAAAAAACTGTCATATTCTGTTTCTCAAACTTACAGAAATAGTATTATGTTATATATCTTGTTTCTACCGTTTATTATTTTTTTTGATCCTCACCCCAAGATTTGTTTTTTTTCCATTGCTTTTAGGACCAAACCCTCAAGCTTTCAGGTATAGGATGATCTCCCATCAATTCAGCCACAATGGCCAGGGTTGGTTCTCCTTTTGGCACTAGGCTTTCCAGACTGGTCCACACTGCTGGGTGCACAGCTAGTCCTTTGCCTGAAGTGGCTGCCCATTTCTCCATGGTGGGCATCCACATCTGGCTCCTCTATAGCCCCACTGATGGACACACACCGGGTCTAGATTCCCAAATCACCAACAACAACAACCATTTGGCATCCCCCAGACTGTCTGGGCCTGTCTAATAAATGTCAAATGATTTCTTACTACTGTTTTAACTATTGTTGTCTCGTTGGTAATCACTTAAAATATCTCTTCATACGCCTTTCAGGCTTTTGGTTTCTTGTTCAATAAACAGAAACGTGTCCAGCAGTGTTCACAGGAAAAGCAAAGAGACTCCTTCACTGCAGTTGGACGCTGCAGTGTCTGCAAACTCCTAACTGTGGCTCCTGGTTCTTTCAGGTCAGCGTGAGGGTCTTCCTCGCTGCCTGCAGAACACTGGAATGGGCAGGAAGGCCGGGGCATGGAAAGGGAAAAGGTCTTCGAGTCTGTTGTTCTCAGCACCTGGGTAAGCTAGACAAGGAGGGACCTGTCCAGAACTCCTGCAGCACAGGAAAAGGCGGCAACACCTCAACGTGGAAAACTCTGCAGTGAAAATGAAGGAATGTCTGAGATTCAAGGAATACAAAGAGGCCATACATGACATGTGTTTGAGCAATGAGAAAGTGATAGGAGAATCTGACAAGATGGCTAGGGTAGAGGGTGAGGTGAAGACAACCAGACGGAAATGGGGTGAGGGAGGGAGGATGTGAATGCAAGAATGTTTACAGGACCCCTTCCACTCAGGGGCCCAAAGTAACTTAGGGGTGGCTGTAGGGCACCACAAAGGGACTTGGTAGACATTCCTTTTGTGCAGTGCCCATGGCAGGCATTTGCCAGGCCAGGGCTTCAATCTTATGCTAATGCTGTCTTGGCCGTAAAGTTCATTTTGTTTTTTTCTGTGTGATGGCTGGACTAGTACTTGAATGTCTTTAACTTCATTCGGAGCAATTTTGTTAGAATATATTGTGACAGCTGTCATATCAGTGTGCATTTTAAAAAAACTTAGCAAACTTGGTGAATTTTTGTGCACCCATTTTAATACTGAAGATGGAAGAAGATATGCAGCATTTTTGGTGTATTATGCTTCATTATTTCAATAAAGGTAAAAAACACAACTGAAACACAAAAAATAGATTTGTGCAGTGTATGGAGAAGGTACTGTGACTGATCGGATGTGTTAAAAGTGATTTGCAAAGTTTCTTGATACTATTGACATTTTGGCCAAATCATTCTTTGCTGTGGGGCTGTCTTATGCATTGGAAGATGTTTAGCAGCACCCTTGGCCTCTACCCACTAGAAGCCAAGACTGAGAGATAGCCAACATACTCAAAATAGCCAACAATAAAGTTATTGGTGAAATGAAAAATATGTTATTTTCCAGAAAAAAATGTAACAAACTTTTTGGCTAGCCCAGTACATTCCTTTAATTGTCATTTTCATTATCCATTTGGAGCTCTCTGTGTTTCAGGAGCAGATTTTATTTTCTTACTTTCTCCTTTTTTTATTTTTAATGAAGACCTTTGTTTAAAAGGCTCCATCTTATGTGACACTAGTGAACATGTTCAGCAGTGCTGGAAAGTAGATTCAAGCTTTCAAGGAAAACCAGAAATAATTCCTAAATCTTTGCAGACATGGGGAGAAAAAAGGCAATAGCAGATTTTCATCCTTTGCATGGAATAATGTTTGTGGTACAATAAAAAATCAAAAAGAAAACAGTCTGGAGCAGCACTTTCTAATAAAAATGTTTGAATATCACCACTCACTCTCTTTAAAGACTTTAGTAAAACGCCAAATGCCTCATCTAGCCAAGTTCCAGCATCTAGGATGATGCAATAGAGACGCTAAAATCCACAGCAGAGAAACGGAGATCACATGGAGGGTTTTCAGTGGGGACGGGGAGGGGAAAGATGGAGGGAGAAAGGTACAGAGAATAAGAAGCATAATTGGTAGGAATAAAATAGACTGGGAGAAGTTAAGAATGGCATAGGAAGCGGAGAAGTCAAAGAACTTACAACCCATGGATATGAACTAAGTGTGTGTAGGGGGGTGGGGGGAATGCTGGAGGGTTGGGGGTTGCAGGCAGAGGGGAGATAAAGGGGAGAAAATTGGGAAAACTGTAAAAGCATAATCGATAAAACATACTTAAAAAATAAATTAAAAATCCACAGAGCACTCAACCTGAAGGAGGCAGTCACAGGGTCCTACAAGCGCTGACGACATCATTATCTAATTGTCGAATTAATAAATGAATCTAACTTCAAAAAGTAGAGCTCAGACTCAGGGACTCCGGAAGGGGTCGACCAGAGAGCAGCTACCGACAACCACCCCGCACCTTTGCCATCCTCCAACCCCCCAGCCCCCTCCCCCAACCTCGCCTAGGTGGTACCTGCGACGAGGGCCGGGAGCTCCAAAACCAGGACCAGAAGCGTCCGTACAAAGCTCCACAGTGTGCGGGCTGCCGCCGCCTCCGCGTCCGCGGCCATGCCTGGGTTGGGCCTCGGTTGCCTGGTTTGAGTCTTGGTTTGGGTCCGCGGGGGCCCCGGCTGGGGTCCCTGCCTAGCTGGGCGCCTGAAGTTTTTTCCTGAAGAACGAAGCGCCCGATCCTATTAGGCAATGAGCAGTACGCGGCAGGCGAGAAATCTCCTTTCCCGGGGCGATGTGGAGTAACGCCACCCTCTGCAATCGGAAGCTGGAAAGCGCTCGCCCCACCCCGCCCGCAACTTTCAGGGGATCCGCGGTCACGCCACCTCCAAGGGTCACACCTCCAAGGATCACACCTCCTTCTGGAAAAAAACGTGACGTTCGGGCCAACCCCGGCGCCATTGCGGGTGACATCACTTGCCCCGCCCCCCGCCACTCCTGGATAAAACGAAGAGGGCATGGTGCGCTGTGATTAAGAAACTGCTACAGTGGTGTTCCCAAGGCTGCCCTGTAATATATGGACTCTTGACCCCACGTGAGTTTGAGAGCTCCTTTATTTGAAAGCTGGGGACGGTGAAATAAGGGAGGGCTTAGGGTAGAGGGAGCAACAAGAGAGGCCCGGTGGCTCTGCTTTGGCTCCCTACCAACGTTGCAAAGCAAAGAAGGGACCCAAGGCAGGCTGAAGTTAGTTCACTAGATAGAAATAGAAAGAGTTGACCTTGGAGACAGGTTCAGGGATAAGCCCAGGACAGCTGTTGCTGCCCACTTCTCCCCTGGTTGCAAGTCTCATGGGGACTCTTAGAGTTCAGGAGAAAGTAAAAAGTTCATTGCCCAAAGAAAAGGCACGGGCGTGTTAGAGAGTGAGGACCCCTGGCATCCTTTGTCTTGAGGGTTTTGATCTTCTGTGGGTGAGAATCTAGGGGAGAGGTTCAGTAGAATATTCATCAGCTTTCTAGCTGAGTGAATATGCTGATGCATCAAAATGAAGCTGTAGGGGAGTTTGGCATTATTCTCTGGTCAGCTACACTGCTTTATCTTGGGTCTGTCTGGCTGTAATTGAGTTGTTATTTGTTCCCCTGACTCCATCCATCCTTGGGTTTGGCTGGCACAAATGGCATGAACTGGGTCTCTGTTCTCCTTCTCCCTGACCAGGGTGACTTAAACTTTTCTGTGGTCAGGGAGGAGAGGTAGAAACCATTTGTTCCCAGGTGTCCTTGGTTAGGGACAGTAAGGTCTTATAATTTACTAGTTGCCTGTGAGCTGGTCAAATTGTTTGGCCTTGATTATCTTGTCTCAGTTTCTGCATTCCCCTTGCCAAGGAATTTTCCTAGCTTCTCACTCTCCTGCCTCACCTGATAAACTTATTTTTTTTTAAACTTCCATTACTTAAACCAGCAGCTCAATGTGTATCTCCAGGATGCTTCAGTCCAGTGCCTGAAGGCAGCCTCCCCAGCTAGACAGTTCTGCCCTGCTCCTGCTCCACTCCTGCTCTCTCCATGCTGGTCTGCCTCAAGTCATCCCACTGCCACCATCTGCTGCACTTTTTACCAAGTCTTGGTTAAAATAAATGTATAGACACATCTCGAAGGATTTTTTACTGCTGTTTCTACACTGCAGTTCTCTTTAGTGAGTGTTAAAAATTATAGTGGACTATCATCTTTTAAAATGAAATTTTAATTATTTAGACCTAAGTATACTATAAAATTTACATGTTTCATGAAAATTCATATGTGAAGCAAAACCCAAATTGCTCATACATACCAGTAAGTCAACTAAAGCAAAGACTAATACCTAATAAGGTATGAAGGAGAATGTTATAAATTAAACACAGAACCAATGCTTTCTAACAGGACCAGAGAAAGTACTATTAGTTACTTTCTAAGAAATAATATTCATTCACAAATACCCAGGACTCACAGAACTACAATTCCTTAAGTCTATAAGTAATTTTAGCTAACAATTCTTTTTTTAAAAGATTAAATTTATTTATTTCCAGAGAGGGAAGGGAGGGAGAAAGAGAGAGAGAGAAACATCAGTGTGCGGTTGCCGAGGGCCATGGCCTGCAACCCAGGCATGTGCCCTGACTAAGAATCAAACCTGCAATGCTTTGGTTCCCAGCCCATGCTCAATCCACTGAGCTATACCATCCAGGGATTCTTTTTAAAATAATATAAATTATAATAATTTGCTGGAAACTGTGAGGTATGTCTAGGTTAGTATCCATCATTTATTCATGTGAAAAAGCATTTTAATAAATTTCTGTAAGTTCTTCTTCAACAACTTTCCAATTTAAACACAGTCTACCATCTAAAAGAGTGTACCTCAGGAGATACAGTAGTCAATACAAGGATATTCCAGACCATTTTTTAATATTTCCTACAATTTAAACAATGAAGTTGGGAATTCTTCATTAAAAAAAAGAAAACAAAACAAAAAAAGTAGCATTACTTGGCTAAGTGACATTTGTGGGTTTTGTTTTTTAAGCTGAATATGAAAACAGAACTTTTTTACATTGCTATACTTAATTTTGGGATCCATGATTGAAGAAAAAAATCTGAAGTATGTTTAGAGGAATATGCAATAATTATCAAAAAACATTGTGAAATGAGGACTAAAAGTTTAAACATTATCAATGTGAAGAGAAACAATGTATACTTATGAGGTGTTGCAGTGGATTGGCTCACTTCAAAACTTTAAACATGCGCTCCTGTACTGCAGAGGTAGGAAAATTAACCACTATTATTTCCCAACCTGCCTTGCAGCTAGGGCTCCAGCCTGACTGGCCCAACAGTCGGATGCACTCACTCCAGACTTTCACCCGGAATAGAGTCACGGGGAGAGGTGGCACACAAGGTGTCCCCTTTTGCCCACACGAAGCAGGGCAACCGTGGTGTGACAGCTCAGGAGCTGCCCACTGCTCACATCTTCCTCATGCAGCAGGCAGCTTTCCAAGATGGCAGGCAGCTTCTCCATTGATCCAAAAGCAGGAGCTCCTTTGGGATCCCTCTCTTGTGATGCACTTCCTAGAAGCTCAGCCTAGGTTCTGTTTCTTCAGCCCTCTTGAAGACGCTGTGAGCTACCTATCCCCCTTCACCAATGCCATTCGGTTTAACAACTAAGGAAGATTCCCTTACCCACGACCCAGAATCTTGACCGATACAGAACTTAGTAGCTAGGAGGAAGGTGTGGCAAGCAAAAGGATCTGACACATGAAGCGTGCTTAGTTGAGAAGGTCGGGCTTTGGGCCGTGAGAACACATGTCAACCTAAGTCAAGGTACCAGAGAAGGTAGCATTAGAACCCTGGCACGAGGGAGCTGCCTCAGCCTCTTTCCGCACAGTCCTACCAGGCAGATGCCACGCAGGCTAAGGCTAACCAGTCTGCAGAGATGGGAAGGCATAGAGCTTTGCTGAGGGACTTGTCTGTCTACAAGACAAATGGACAGACTCCCAAATCTGGAGCCCTGAAGAACTGATAAAGTCAAGTACTACCATACTCCATAAGTACAGGTTTTGAGGAAGCAGCTAAAACTTCCTTAAACTTTTCAAGACCCTCCCTTAAGAATTTCCTGCCCAGTAAGGGGAGCCATCCTGAGGAAAAAGATCAAATAAAGCCTGTTGTCATCCCCTCCAAGCCTGTGCTGTAAATGGTTCCCAGTAGGGGTCCTTCATTTAAGATCTCTGTGGAAAGGGAGAGCACAGAAGCCAGCAAGTAAAATGGTTTCTTGTTAAAAACTATGCCTGGACACCATCTTGGTTGTTACTCATGGTAATAGCTGAAGAAAACAGACCAAAAACTTACTAACTTATTAGGGCCAAGTTTTGCCAAAAATCAAAATAAAAACCTTAAACCTAGCCTAAAAGAGCCTCTAACTATCGAAAGCAATCCCCAAGCCCCCAAACCCAAAAAACAGGAAGTTATTTGGAAGTGTTAGAACTGTCCAGCCTCCAAGAAAGGCGGCCTTGCCAACGCCCACTCAGATGTGCATTTAAAAACTAACAGCAATAAAGACTTCCGAGAGAGCAATGCCACGGGCCCCTGAGGATATCAGACAAGGGAGTTCCTCCCAGAAAGGTGAATCAGGAGTTGCCTCATGGGAAAGCCAGGGAATGTGTTCACAGACAGAGCAGAAAGACCTCACTATGGATCAGTGATTGCACGTTTGCCACCTTCCCCTTTTCAAAAAGGTTCATTTGATGGCAGCTGTCCTGTACCTATCCCACCATGATACACAGGGCACTCATGAGGCAGGTTCCTTGCTGTTCAGTTTTGTAGACAGCCAGACATATCCTAGTCTTTGAGCTGTGTGTAATAATGGGCTGGGTTTTGGTGGTTTCCTTTTGAGGTGGGGGAAGCATTTCCTATGTTTCTGACGAGTGTACACAGATATTTAGGTAGTCAATAAGGCTGTCTAGGTTAGAACTAAAAGTTGCCTACCAAATACTGTCTCTTCCCATCTTTTTCAGTCAAAAAATCCTAACTTTTAGCTGGTCACATTGCCACAAGGATTTCTTAGCTTCCCTAGCAGCGAGGTGGCTGTGTGACTCAGTTTGCGCCAATGAGATGTAAGTTCAAATGCTGCGTGTTTCCCCAGGAAACTGCATCAGGAGGCTGGTTCAGCTGGAGAAAGTTCCTTTCCTGCCCTCCTCCTCTGCCTCCCAAGCAATGCTGGAGAGTGCGGATGGGGTAACTACAGGATAAAACCCATGTCCTGAAGAAAGCAGAGCAGAAAGGCAGGAACTTGGACACCACCTACCTACAGATTTCTTTTATATAAAAAGGAAAAATTCCTACTTAGTTTAAACCACTGTTATCTTTGGTTTTTGGTTATATGTAGCAAACCTGATCTTAAATGGTAGAGTATGAAGCAAAACTATGAATGAAAAATGATTTGAAGTGGTAGCAAAAGCCACTCCGTAGAAGAATTTCTAGCTGAGGAAGTCAGGAGGAAGTTACCAGGAAACAATTGGGGGATGTGACGGCCTTCTCAGGAGAATTATGAACATCCAAGAGACTTTTATTAAGAGAGGGGATGATAAGCACTGATAAAAGAATATCTATTTTCATGAGTGAGGGCAATCTCTTTCCAAAGCAAGAGACAGAGCTTTCTCACTTAAACAGTTACTGAGAGTTCCATTACATTGTGGCAGAAGGCCCCTTAACTAAAGCGCCAAAGGAGAACAAAGGAAAAAGGGGGAGGTATGAAAGTGAGAGCAGATACGGAGTTTCCTTCCTGGTTCTGACGGACGTCAATCTTTAAATATGTGTGTCCAAAACAACATGTGTTCTCCTACAAAACGTGTCCTCCTTTATTCCATATATGCTTTAAAACATT